TTTGCATGGCTACATCTCTTCTGTGAGACGCGAGTGCAGCAGTCATATTTGTCCATCTAAAAAATGCGCTGAATATGCGTTCTGTGTGAATGGCTTGGTTTCGGTTTTAACCCATTCAAGATCTTCTCTGCATTTAGCTTATATATTTCTCTAATATTTTGAACGCAGCAGCGGTGCGTCTCGTGGGCTAGACTAACAAAACATTAAAGCTCATAGTACGTGCCTATATCGTGCGCTAAATTGAAAACATTTTCTATCGTTATCGAAGAAGGTGTACCGTCGATAAATATCGATACCGTTTTATCACCCAGGCCTATAATATATTTAATGTATATTTATATATAACATAACATAAAATAAATATAAATATATGTACACACACACACATACATGTAAATATTTCTTATACACACATTTTCTTCTTTTATTTGGATCCGCAAGGCAAGCAACAAAAACCTTACATACCATAACATACATTCACAAGGCCTTATATTTATAATATTTAACACTCAAGGATAGACAAAACATCTTTGTTTCCATATTTGCATACTCCTTATAATGGCTGAAACTGAACAGAATTTTGCGTGTCTTTTTGCTTTCTTTTTTTGCAATCCACCCAACTGTAATCCTTTAATCACATTCTTGTGCACATGACCTAAACTTCCAAATACTAAGGTAATTAACTTACAATGATAGTGAAGTTGACACATACACACACATATATATATATATATTTGTCTGTGTGTTTCAACTTGACTATCATTGATGCACCTGTATGTGTATATATATATATATTAGGGATGGAACGATTACCGGTTTCACGATAAATCACGATAAAATGCCCTGACGGTTAGTATTAGCGTGTTAAACACAGGCGATTAATTTTTTCAGTTTAATGTGTTAAAAATATTTAACGCAATTAACGCAGGGGCGGAGCTAGGGTTGGCCATCCCACTCACAACTGCTGCTTCTGTCTCTTTTTTTTCTTGTCAAGAAGTGGATGTATTCAGTCGCAGAACGTCTTTACAATCACATCAAACGGGACACGTTTCAGCAGGAGCCCTGCTATGTGTTCTGGGCCCCCTGAACAGCATATTGACTCGGGCTCCCCGCTATTGCGTATATATAATTCCCATTACTGTCAAATATAAAACATATGTGTGTGTTAATTATAATACACGTGTGACAACTATAGTATTTTACTGGTAATAATGGTAATGAGAAAGAGACTTTCGAGAGAGAGCGGGAGGTTGCCGCTTGGGTGAAATATGGCCCAGCTAGAGCGTTAGAACAGAATGCAGTGTAAAGTCACCTGCAGACTTGCACAACATGCTGCCTCCCACATACCTGTGAGCTCCTCCCACTGACACACACAGAACATTGCACAACACACAGACATTTTTCAGTTTCACTTTCTCCACAAACAAAGGGAGGAACCGTGTAACGGACAAACACTACATTTGTGAGCAGACTTTGTAGAAACTGATCTATTTAGCTGAGACTGTGCAGGTGAACGTATACGGTTTGTTTCCCTGAACGAAAGTGACTTGGACAACAGCAAAATGGGTGTTGATGGATGTCCAAAATGTATTAAATACGCCATGTTTATCTTGAACTTTATCTTCTGGGTAGGTGCAATTTCATATTTGTATTTTGTATGTGATTGTGTGAAAGTACCGCACCATCATTTATGATGTGTTAGTGTTGTGTTTTTATGTGGAGTTTGTGTGTGGAATGTGGTGAAAGGGTGAAGTGGGGTTGTTTTAAGGGTGTTTGTTTAGCTAAGCATTGGCATGGAGATTTGGAACAGATTTGTCAACCTTCAGTTTTTCAAACAAAAGATCTGGGTCAGAGAGAATGAATCAAAGAGCAGGACGTGAACCCTGTGAACATGAAACCGTTGCGTTCAGCTTAGTGAGCAGGACATGACTAGAAAGAAAAATAAGTCACATGATATAATGAGGAGTGTGGTGTTTGCATGTGATAGTTCAGAAGGGTTTTAAATCAAAGGCTGAAAGATGATTGGTCGGTATGATGCATCTGTTTGTTTGTGTTTTTGTGCATAACTTTGAAGCAAAATCTCATGGTGTCCTTGAACGCAAAAAGCTGGCTTGACATTTTTAATCTGCAGTCATTTTGGGTCAAACCAACAGATGTTGAATCTGATCAAATGAGTTGCACATACTGTAATATTTTTTGTGTTAAAAAGGAAGCAAGCAGGATTTTTCCATGTGACGGAGGTTATTTTATCCCTGGATGGAGGAAGTAAAATCAGGCATGCAGTTTTGCCAAAATGGCAGATAAACATGCATGCATACTGTATATAGCATCACACATCTGACAGATTGTCAGAACGTCTGCCAGTTTTATTTGGATTCTGTCATGTAATATTTCTTGCTGGTTTCAGAAAAGATGGGTATAAGCCTCTGAGCCTATTGAGTTTTAATAAGCGTTATTACATAATTCATGCACCTGCCGTGTCCTGTTGTTTTTGTTTGAAGAAACAAGCAAAGTGGTCAAGCTGGTTAACACTGCCAGTGCACACCTGTTGGTATAAAAATAAGAATGCATTCTGACTGAAATATTGTTTGCAATTTACCTATAAATCCTAAATATTTAAATTATAATAGATGTTTTATTTGTACTTATTTTTTTTTTTTATCTTATAATTCTTTAAATATTACTTTTTATCATATTTTATTTGATGTGTTTTATATATAATAATGTATTTTAATTTATTTATATTTTAATTGGCAAGCCACCTATCAGTTCTAACTATTATATTTTATTATAATAATGTTTTACTATTTTTGTAATTTTTTCCCATTTCATTATTTTGATATATTGTTTATTTTTGTAGTGTGTTTTGTTTAATAATTTTATTTGTTTTTATAATAATAATAATAATAAATAGCCTTATTTTAACTTGTCTTAAAAGAACAAGAAATATACTTGTCTAAATAAAATAATATATATATAATATAATACAATAATCCTATTAAATTAAGAGACTTTTTAACTGATGTATTTTTATTTTATTTTCATTCATTTTAATTTTAATGTATTTTAATTTAGTCTCTTAATACACTTATATAATGAATAGTTGCTAGTGAAGGGTGTAGGACTGTGTGATCAAGGTTGTCAGGATATAATTTTTCTGTGGCAGTAATTATCTACGTGGCATTTATGGCTTATATAAACCCATTCATGGTTATAAAAAAAAAAACTAGGCCAAGACCGCAGGACGTGAACCCTGTGAACATGAAACCGTTGCGTTCAGCTTAGTGAGCAGGACATGACTAGAAAGAAAAATAAGTCACATGATATAATGAGGAGTGTGGTGTTTGCATGTGATAGTTCAGAAGGGTTTTAAATCAAAGGCTGAAAGATGATTGGTCGGTATGATGCATCTGTTTGTTTGTGTTTTTGTGCATAACTTTGAAGCAAAATCTCATGGTGTCCTTGAACGCAAAAAGCTGGCTTGACATTTTTAATCTGCAGTCATTTTGGGTCAAACCAACAGATGTTGAATCTGATCAAATGAGTTGCACATACTGTAATATTTTTTGTGTTAAAAAGGAAGCAAGCAGGATTTTTCCATGTGACGGAGGTTATTTTATCCCTGGATGGAGGAAGTAAAATCAGGCATGCTGTTTTGCCAAAACCACAGATAAACATGCATACATACTGTATATAGCATCACATGTCTAACAGATTGACCGAACTTCTGCCAGTTTTATTTGGATTCTGTCATGTAATATTTCTTGCTGGTTTCAGAAAAGATGGGTATAAGCCTCTGAGCCTATTGAGTTTTAATAAGCGTTATTACATAATTCATGCACCTGCCGTGTCCTGTTGTTTTTGTTTGAAGAAACAAGCAAAGTGGTCAAGCTGGTTAACACTGCCAGTGCACACCTGTTGGTATAAAAATAAGAATGCATTCTGACTGAAATATTGTTTGCAATTTACCTATAAATCCTAAATATTTAAATTATAATAGATGTTTTATTTGTACTTATTTTTTTTTTTTATCTTATAATTCTTTAAATATTACTTTTTATCATATTTTATTTGATGTGTTTTATATATAATAATGTATTTTAATTTATTTATATTTTAATTGGCAAGCCACCTATCAGTTCTAACTATTATATTTTATTATAATAATGTTTTACTATTTTTGTAATTTTTTCCCATTTCATTATTTTGATATATTGTTTATTTTTGTAGTGTGTTTTGTTTAATAATTTTATTTGTTTTTATAATAATAATAATAATAAATAGCCTTATTTTAACTTGTCTTAAAAGAACAAGAAATATACTTGTCTAAATAAAATAATATATATATAATATAATACAATAATCCTATTAAATTAAGAGACTTTTTAACTGATGTATTTTTATTTTATTTTCATTCATTTTAATTTTAATGTATTTTAATTTAGTCTCTTAATACACTTATATAATGAATAGTTGCTAGTGAAGGGTGTAGGACTGTGTGATCAAGGTTGTCAGGATATAATTTTTCTGTGGCAGTAATTATCTACGTGGCATTTATGGCTTATATAAACCCATTCATGGTTATAAAAAAAAAAACTAGGCCAAGACCCATAAGCAAACCCATAAGCAAAGCTGGCAGCAAGCAGGTCGTGTTTTGCCAGCCAAGTGACAGCCATTCAGATGAATGGGAATGTAAACGGATGGCTTTTATACCTCTTTAAATCAAGCCAATAACCTCTGCTGAGATCCTTTAGTGCCATCATTTTAGCTGTTTCTCTTTAATGTTAATGGGGTCGTTCTGATCTGTGTATTTCAGTCCATTTGTAGGTATTTCAGGGTGATGTATTCACAATCCCTTGTTGTTTTACTGCAGATTGCCGGGACAGGCGTCTTGGCTATTGGACTCTGGCTGAGGTTTGATCCCAAGACTAAAAGCTTGTTTGAAGGAGAGAACTCCCCTTACGTCTTCTACACAGGTCAGTAGTTTTTTTTTAAACATGCTTTTTGTGTCGCTGCATTGATGGTCAGCCGGTTAAAGTGAAGCGTGTGTTGTAGGTGTGTACATCCTTATTGCGGTCGGAGCGCTGATGATGGTGGTTGGTTTTTTTGGATGTTGTGGTGCCATCCAGGAGTCCCCTTGCATGCTGGGATTGGTAATCCCCCTCATTATATTCTCAAATATCACTACTTTGTAGTATTATGATGTTATCAGCCGTGGTGTTTGACTGTTGTTGTTTTTTTTCCCCACAGTTCTTCTTCTTCCTGTTGGTGATCTTTGCGGTCGAGGTGGCTGCTGGAATTTGGGGCTTTTCTAACCAGACCAAGGTGGGCGTACCAAATTCTCAGTGTACACGCAAACACACCGATAGTGCACCTAATTCAAGCTCCTATGATTGTGTCCATAGGTTACTGACGATATAACGACTTTCTACAAGGAAACATACAATAACTACCAACAAACCAAACAACCAGCTCTGAAAGAAACACTCCGTCTCATCCAGCATGGAGTAAGATCTCATTTCTTTCTTTCAAAGATTCAGTACTGTGAGCTTTGTGAATGCCAACTGCTAGTTGTTCCTCTTGAAGCGCTCTTCGTAGCAGCCTGGGAGATTGTAAACATCTTCAGAATGCGCTTGCTGTTTTTATGTGCTCTATGCATCAGATGGTTTCACAAGCACTAATTATTCCTAGCTCGTTGACTCCGATGCCTTGCTAATTTGTGATGACATCTGTTCCTCATCTTCAGCTTAACTGCTGTGGACCGTCAGGAAACGCCAAGGATGTTCTTGAAGAGACCTGCCCGGGAAAAGAGGGGCTTGATTTTCTCATTACAAAGGTAATAGTGTTTACAGGCTAAAATGCTGCATTTTGGTAGTTTTTATATTTAATATGTAGATGCCACTGATTACTGAGTTTTGTAATAAATTATTGGACAAGATCCATGTAGACTATGAAGGCTATGACAAGATAAAAAATAAATGTAAGCATAAAAATACAGATTCAAATGTAAAAAATGCAAAAATGTGAGAACTATGGAAATAAAAATATAGATAAATGTAAATTTAAATACATTTATATAAAAATAAAATATTAGAAAAAAACTAAAATGTATAAATTATGAAATGTATTTAATATTTATGCAGTCCTTATTTAATATTAATACAGTCCTTTATATAGTCCTTCATAAAACAAAGTACAAAGTCAAAATTTAGACTGTTTTCTCAAATGTTATTTGAGAAATTATTTAATGTATGCTATTTTAGTATTTTTCTATATACTTTCATTTAAATGTTTTTTTCACTTTTATGTTTTAGTAATGTATGTTTTTGTCTTTTTGCCATTTTTATAAATATTGAATATTCAAATTATTAAAAAATATATATATTTAGCTTTATTTTTTATTTCAGTTTTATTTTATGTCAGCTTGAAAATGAAAATGATTTTTAAAGTTTTAGTTTTCGTTAACAATAACAACTGGTATTTGCCAAGGCACATCATAACTCCTTAAAATTGTAATTTATCCATGTTTTTGGTAGAAACATCTACAGTTACAAGAATACACAAATACTTTGATCAAATATCAGTCAATGATTGTGTAGCATTACAGTTGATCGTACAGGATGAGATTCTTGTAGGCAGCAGGTCTGATTGTGAAGTGCTTTTACACCAGCTTAGCTCAGATGTTTCTAACCTGAAGCACCCTGTGTACGGCTCAGCTTGAATGAGGCAGTGAAACATGCTGTTTACTCTACCAGCAGAAGGTCAAGTAAGAGGTCATCGTGGCGTAGTAACTGTTTACAAAATTGAGAAAAGAGTTGAAAAGTGTTGAAGTGGAAGGAAATGGTGTGTTTTCAAAGGTTGTGCTAAAGATCCAGCAGGGTTTAAGTAAACTAATGAACAGTTAGTGTTTACACAGCCCTGTTATATCAGACATAAGAATTAGTTCTCCACCAAATAAAGACATTCATTCTTATACTAGTAGATGTTATACTATGATAGATGTAAAGATACATTTTTGAACAATTCAGAGAGCATAAAACAACACTGATAAACATGCACAATTTATGCACAAGTGCATAAATCCTGTTGTACCAATTCCAAATCTTGTTTTATGTGTTCAGAGCTGCCCTGATGCCATTGATGAAGTCTTTAACTCCAAACTTCATATTATTGGAGGCGTTGGAATCGGCATTGGAGTGATCATGGTAAATTTTATTTCATATAAATGTGTATATGCATGTAATTTTATACATTTATATACGTATATAAAATGTTATATATAATTTATATACATTTTATTTATATTGTAGTTAGTTTAACTGTGTGTGGTATTGTTTTTTTTGTTTTTTTATTAAGTCAGCTTGTTCAGCATTTTGACCTTTTAGAAGATTTTGAACATTTTATAATTGTGAATTCTTAATTCAATATTACATGAATTTAAAAATGCCTAATTTGATTTATATATATACTCATTACCATTCAAAAGTTTTGGGTCAGTAATTAAAAAAAAAAAGAAAGAAATTAATACTTCTATTCAGCAAGGATGCATTAAGTTGATCAAAAGTGAAAGTAAAGACATTTATAACGTTACAAAAGTTTTCTATTTCAAATAAATGCTGTTCTTTTGAACTTTCTATTCATGAAAGACAAAAAAATATCACTGTTTCCACAAAAATATTAATCAGCGCAACTGTTTTCAGCATTGATAATAATAAGAAATGTTTCTTGAGTACATCAGCAGCATAGAATGATTTCTGAAGGATTATGTGACACTGAAGACTGGAGTAATGATGCTGACGATTCAGCTTTGCATCACAGAAATAAATTACATTTTAAAATTAATTCAAACAGAAAACAGCTCTTTGAAGTTGTAATAATATTTCAGAGCATCACTGTTTTCTGCATTAAATAAATGCAGCCTTGGTGAGCATTCTTTCAAAAATACAGAACATCTTACCAACTCTAACCTTTCCAATGATAGATTCTGCTAATGGTGCAGAAATGACAAACTGCGGATTTAAATAGAAAAAAGTATATATTTCTTTGCACCTTGATTGTAATGCTTTTTTGAAAACATGAATAGTCACATACACGTGTATGTGTGCGATTGACGTGTCACTGAAGAAATGTGTTGTCCATGTGCGCAGATCTTCGGCATGATCTTCAGCATGATGCTGTGCTGTGCCATCCGGAAAACCCGGGAGATTGTGTGAGGGTCCGCTTGCCTGGGAAACTGCCAGTATATTTGTGTTGCATGATGTCTGTCCCAAAGCACTGTCTTGAACATGACCTCATCAGCTAAGAGCCAGTTAGATCACAGCGTCAGGCACACGTCTCTGATTGACTGGAATTCACTCTTTTTCTTAGTGCAGCTGTATCACTGGTTCAGTCACGAGTAATGAGAGAAAAGGGTTGGTTTAGCATTCCAAGCCCATTTGAAAAGGCCTTTAAGTCTGACTTTTTATATTTTTTTATCGTTCATAATAGATTTTAAGGATTAACCATTTGTTCGCTTTATTGTACTCGCAGTACTGCTTGATATAAATTGTTCTTGAACTTTTCTAATGTTTTGTTTCTGATTTGTGAATATGGTCGGTTGATTTACCCACATCGGCTCAAATAAAAGCCAAATTATTCGTGAATTTTGTGGTGTTATGTTTTTTGCAGTATCCAGGATGAAGTGTGTTTGTATGGATCTGTTTTAACAGCGTTCACTCAACAGGCTGATACGAGTCATTGTGAAAGGGCTTGATACCCAAAACTTCATCAGTTTCCCATAATCACAGCGTCACTCCATTATGTGACCGTTTACAACCTCTCAGTTTCCTTAATCTTGTTTGTATCATTTTCTCTTTCCGTTCTTCCCCCCCTTCTTCCTGTTTCCTTTACTTGGTCTCAATTAGGACAAAATCTGTACACTGAAAGTATTTGTCCCTTGCCTTTGATTTTATGTGATCTCTGTTTCTCAAACACAACACTGACACATTGTGAAAAAATGTTTATCTGGTAAGAAGTGACAGTATGACTCACCAACAAACCCAAACAGATCCAGCAACGAAGAGAACAGAGAGTTTGAAATCATATTAAAGCACACACCCATCAAATCACCTTTACTGTGATTTTATTAAAGTCTCTCAAAAAGAAGTTTTTTCATTGTGAGGAGTTACGCACCCAAACATATGACTTTACCTTCTTCCTCGTGTGTATATATAATCATAAACCAAGTGGCTGTTGTTGTATATGATGTTATCTAGTGTTGTTGAGTATCACTGAGATACTATTATAGTTAGTCTTTTTGTTGACTTTTTTCCATTTTAATAATTATTGTATTTTTAAAATATGTCTGTATAGTTTTTATTTATTTTCAGTTTTAGTACATCAAGTTAAACTAAATGAAATGTTGCTTTGTCATTTAGCTGAAATGTGTTTTTTAATATATTTTTTATTTTATTTATTTATCTCTATTAATCTGTTTATTGAACTTTTATAATAATAAAAGGATAATGAGACAGGAGAATAGAAACAAACATATTTTATATTTTATTTTATTTTATTTAAAGCAGCACTATGTAACTTTTTCTGTGTTCAAAATTTGCAAAATGTATATAATGAGCGAGTACATCATGAATTCATCTTCCAAACCGCGTTTTTGTCTTATTCCGAATCACTACGGTACACTTATAATAAGTACTTATATTTGGACTATTGTAGCCTGGTCGGGTCGTCACCGCTGCGGAGTAACACATACCTGCGTGAATCGCCATAGACATAAACTTAGAGAAGTAGCTCCGGTTGGAATGTTCTTCCGCGGGATGTGTGCAGTTCTGTTTATTAACCGCCAGAGCGCCAAAAGTTGCATAGTGCTGCTTTAACATTTATTTTGTTTCAAGTAACAATTATTTATTTTTTATTGTTTTGGTTTTAGTTAGTAACCCTTCTATGGGCGGTGAAATACTTAAAAATACAAAAAAATGCTGTCTTTCTAGGGAAAAATTTGCCACTTGGTTTGATACTTTATATTATTACTATTAAATAATACTAAAAATCATTGGCATATATTGTCTGTCAATGTCTATCTTAACAAATTACAGCAAAAATAGATAATTAATTAATTATGATTTTAACTGTATTGTTGCGAACTGTATTGTTATTTCCCCCTCAAAGATTTCTTCATATTCACATGCAACTTGATATAACATGAACTTTGTTGCCCCCTGGTGGCCTTTATGATGAATTATTTTGAAGCAGAGACAACTAAACAAACAAACTTTATAACTCAACAACAAACTTTACAATAGACTTGTACGGTGTGCTGAAGTCATTTAAAAACTAATGTATTTCAGATGCTCATCAATTAGAGACAGAGAAAGAACTTTTGAGTTCCTGATGAGTCTTAATAGTGCAGACTGTCTGACGTCTGAAGTGAACGAGCTCCATTACACTTTTAAAAGGTTTGATCACTTTAATGTAGCTGTAGGCTATACTAAAACAGAGAGCGAGGAAGTGTGTTACAGTCTGTAAACCTCTCGTCGTCCACTTCAGTGCAATACTGAGCAGATGCTGGGGCTGTTTGACTTCACTATTGTTTGCATGTAAATTAGCACAGTCTGTGTGCATCAAGACAAATCTTCAGATGGTACAGGTGGGCTTCCATTTTCATCTTATTTCTTAAGATTTTACTCAAGAAATGTTGGTTACACTTTACAATAAGGTGTCATTTGTTAACAATAGATTAATTAACATGAACGTTTATACATTTATTACACTATTTATTAATCTTCGTTAATATTAGTTTATAAAAATACAGTTGTTCATTGTTTGTTCATGTTAATTCACAGTGCATTAACTAATGTTAACAAACACAACTTGTGATTTTAATAATGCATTAGTAAATGCTGAAATTAACATTAACGAAGATTAATAAATGCTGTAGAAGTATTGTTCATTCTTACATGTTAGCTAAAGTAGTTAACTAATAATGAAACTTATTGTAAAGTGGTACCGAAATGTCATATGCTTAAAAGTATGTAAATCTATACCTTGTCTCAATATTTTTAAATGCATTTTTTTTTCTTTTCTTTTTTTTTTAGGCTTGTGCATAAAAATACATTACTCTTCAATATACAGTATATGATTGACATTTTATTTAATGATTTATTATGTAAGTCACTGGTTTGTTTTTTAACATAATTTAATAAAAAAATATATAAATAGATATATCGAAGCAATTAAATGCAGCTATATTTTTGTGTTAACTATTGACTTTTTTTTTATCAGTTAACCCATTTTTTTAAAAAAGTAATAAAATGCAGAGAAATATATAAATAAATAAATGTATGGATACATTACTTAGTACCTTTTGCAGGTTGTTACTTATAATTTTATTTATTTTTATATTCATTGAATAATTCTTTTTCTTTTATTAACTTATGTATAAGAGATATATTTTAAATATATTTTTTTATCATTCTTTAAAATATGTTTTTATTAAATAAAATGTATTACATTTTATTGTAATATTTTATAAGAAATTTATAGGGATTACAATTGAGGTTTCTTCTATGCATTTCTCTGTACTTTACAATACATTTCTTCTGTTCTGTGTTTACTGTCCTGCATTAGAACAGTCACTAACGTCATGCGTGACTTTTACCACAGCAGCTCCGTGTGCAAACACACCAACTAGAGGATGCAACACTCCTGTCACGCATGAAGCAGAAACTATCCATGCTGTTTCTCAAGTGCGGGGCGTTTTGATCAGCTCATGAGGGATGAGAACCGGGATTCATGGCATCCCTTGAGACCCCAAATGACCTGCTTTTCTGCACTAACCATAGGATTGACCACCGCCTGACCACTGACCGCTGCTTTACCTACGAGAGTCTCTCAGGTGGGACCCTGATCACCGGAGATGGACGATTTCACACCGTCACTAATGGTTTCTGCTAATTTCAAATGCTCCGATCAGTGGCTATATTAAGGCTTTGAATAAGGTCAGCAATGAATAGCTTTGTTCCCAGCACCATATCCCAGTGGCAAGAGGTAACCGCTTGTTTTTTTTTTTTATTGCACTTTCCTTTCTTGGACTGTTTTAACTTGCATAGGATTTATTTGTAAAAGTAATTGTTGTGGAAATCCTTCTCTGGCTGACCTGATTTTACAGCTGTGCTCCCCTTTGCAGAGCTGCATGTGCCTTTGACGAAGAGGGAAAAGCAAAGGACAGTAGGCTTGAATTTCTGTAGTGTGCATGAGTACAAGCTCAAATCTGGTGCAAATGGCTGAAAACCCCGAAGACCCCCTTGCATTGTTGGAGATCCTGGAAGTGTTAGGTGCATGCCGTGGGAGCGTGTCGTACGCGGATATTTGCGTTTATCTGAGTGGACGCTTCAGCCTGCAGCCGCTTCTAGATTTACGGAGTCTCTTGTACTCCACCGCATGTAGAGACCCCTGCTTCCCTGCCACCCTCTTCCGAGAGCGACTTCACCCGCCCTGCAGCAACCGGCTCTCGGCGACCGCCGATGTCGTCTCCCTGTTCAACCTCCTCATGCACACCCGCATGGCTCCTACATACACTCAGAACCTTCAGTCTTTGACGCCCTGTCAGGTCTGTGGGAAGGGATTTGTGCGTTATGACTGGCCGGCCGCCTTACCCGTCACAGGAGGAGGCACTGCCTCTGAGGACTGTAAATATGAGAACCTCCCTTGTGAAGCGTTCAGTCATAACACAGAGGCTTCACACGCTCAGACCACCTCCGCGTTGGTCGCTCAGCCTCACTCACGCATGCACAACCGGGACAGCATGCAGAACGCGTATTCTGGGGACATTTCCATTGACGTGGTCAATCAGGAGGCTGGCAAGCCGCTGGCGACCAATCAGGGAACCCGCGTCGCTCGTTCCTGCTCCCAGAAGAGGAGTGCCTTTAAAGAAGGGCTCCAAAAAATTCCACTCATATCCGTGGAAGGCGACGGCCAATGGACCCAGGGCCAAAGCCCAGATGGACCAAGATTGGATAGTGAGGACCTGCTTTACGCTCCCAAAAAGAACCCTTATCCAGACCCTGCAATATATGCAAACGACCAGCACAACCCAGCATCACATGTGCATGATCATTTGTACGCTCATTCGAACGCACCTGAACCGGATGCACACATGGCCGACTCGCAATCGTATGAAGATGCCTCGAACCCCTATGACCCTCAGACTCAGTGGCGTCAGGCGAAGCACGAGAGTTTGAACGAGCTCCAGACTTCCACCTACTTTGGCCCTTCGGTCTCCAGCGAAAAGCACCAAACCCCTGCTCTTCAAATCAAAAGCCACAGCTTGGACATCGACAGCAGGACGGCGGACGAAAGACCTGAGCCGGAAACGACCGGGTTGCAGAAACCCAGATCAGAGCGGTCTGTCTTAGAGAAGTCTGGATTACGAAAGCCAGGATCTGTTAAACTTAGCATCGACGGATCAAGCTTCGACATTCCCGGTTTTGATCCTTGCATCGTCAATTCGGTGCGGGATACCTTCAAGCGACTGAGCGGCATGAGTTTGGACACATGGTACGATTGGTCACCGAGCATTGAGGGCATGGTTAGCACAGGCACCCAAACGGAGCCTGCAGATCGGCGCGCTTTACGAAGCATCATGCTTGCCGATAAACTCTCCATCGACAACCCTGACATCGACGAGGACGACATCAGTGCCATCTTCCGTTTTCTAGACGACATTAGCATGTGTGGCTCCATGGCAGTGCTGCCAGGGGAAGGAGGCGGGGCCCAGGAAGGGGGCGGGGCCGGGCTGCCAGAGAGGCGTGAACGTTTGGGAAAGTTACGGAGGTTGTTTCACTCTTTGGAGGCACCTGAGGAGGGCGTGAGATGGGGCGTGGGGCGCCTGCTCCAACGAGTCACGGAGCTGGAGCAACAGCTAGAGCCGATCGCGGAGCTACGTGAGAAGCTGGCCCTCGTGCTCTCCACGCTGAACCGTCTGGAAGAGCGGGAGCAAGTTGCATGCCCACATGTGCATCAAATGCACATACAGCCACAGCTCACACCACGGCCTAGCCTACAGCAACAGCAGGGCTCCCCGAGGACCAATTTAGTGGCAGAGGGCGTCAATGAGGCAGCAGCAAAACGCAGACGGCTGTTTGTGCGCAGGACCTCCAGGAGCCACACAGAGAGCAGCGGATCAGAAGCCCCCAGAGAGTGGAGCATCAGCTTCAGCAAGGAGCCACACATACAGTCTGTTAAGGTAACAGGATAAGAAATATATACAGTGGTGGCCAAAATGATTAGAACACTATTATTTCACCAGCCTAAAATGGTTTTAAGTCAGTTATTTCTATCTTTTGCTGTAGTGTGTCAGTGGGAAATATCGGTTTACATTTCCAAACATTCATTTTGCCATTAATTGTAATAATCCAGTGAGATTTTTGTTTGCACAAGGAGTCTGACAACAGCTGGTGCTCCACACACACATCTGATCTCATCATCATCCAGTTGTAATATTGTATTAATATAGAATACAGAATTAGAACATACATGCATTTTGACTAGTAGTTTGATTTTGACCTTATGTATAGATATAAGGATGAATACTTTGTCATAAAATAAACCTTGTTTGGCTTCTCAGTCAGATCATTTAGGTGGAGTGCATAAAAGAGAGGGCTCTGTAGTGCAGGAAGTGACGGGCTTTCACCTCATGCCACCTGAGACCCACAATGCACCACGGCGCACATCTGTCCATAGCACTACCCATGTGACTGAACGCCCCAAAGTGACCTGGAGCCAATCAGACTTAACACCGCTGGATAATCCAGTGAGATTTTTGTTTGCACAAGGAGTCTGACAACAGCTGGTGCTCCACACACACATCTGATCTCATCATCATCCAGTTGTAATATTGTATTAATATAGAATACAGAATTAGAACATACATGCATTTTGACTAGTAGTTTGATTTTGACCTTATGTATAGATATAAGGATGAATACTTTGTCATAAAATAAACCTTGTTTGGCTTCTCAGTCAGATCATTTAGGTGGAGTGCATAAAAGAGAGGGCTCTGTAGTGCAGGAAGTGACGGGCTTTCACCTCATGCCACCTGAGACCCACAATGCACCACGGCGCACATCTGTCCATAGCACTACCCATGTGACTGAACGCCCCAAAGTGACCTGGAGCCAATCAGACTTAACACCGCTGGATCTTCAGGTGACACCTCCAAATGTAATGTTTTGAGTGAAAACATTGTCACCTCAAGAATCTGTATTTTTCTACAGTGTATTTTTGCTGGGGTCAGATTGACCTAAGCTAGAATAATTTTTTTTATATTGGATGGCAATATAGTTTTCTAAAAAGTGCTTAGGTTTTGATGAGGTTTGCATAACATGTTTTATAAATCTGTGTTAAAGGAACAGTTCACCTGATCAAAACATCATAATAATCCACAAGTAATCCACATGACTTTTAGTAAACAAATCAGTCAAGATGTTTTTAAATTCAAAATATGAGTCCTCTATCCATAATGCCACTTATTCCAATGAAAAATGTTCTCATCTGAATCAGGAGAGAAATATGCACAGATCAAGCACCAATTACAAGGGTAAACCGTTCTAAACAAATATGTCAGTGGATTTTGATGTAAGAGGACAACAGGTTATGGACTTTTTCACTGGAGGAAGTGTTGTTATCAATTGGCCAGAAGCAACTGTTCACGTTATAATTTGTTAACTGATAGATTTTAGTCGTGTGGATTATTGTGATGTTTTTATCAGCTGTTTGGACTCTCTTTCTGACGGCACCCATTCACTGCAGAGCATCCATTGGTGAGCAAGTGATGTAATGCTAAATTTCTCCAAATCTGATCAGATGAAGAAACAAACTCTACTTAATCTTGGACTGCCTGAGGGTGTACATTTTCAGCAAATTTTCATGTTTGGGTGAACTATTTCTTTAATCTGGGATAATACTGGTTATTTTCAAATTTATCATTATTGTTTTTACATAAACATCATTGGGTTCTTTGGGAATTGAATCATTAAATCAATCTTAACAGAACATGAAAGAAAACAGATGATGAAACTGTGCAAAGCGTATATTAATGCAGATAAACCGACACTTACAGTACTCAACTATTTTCTATATACATTTTGCAGGCCCCTGAGTCTTTGGAGTTCTGGACGGATGAGATTTACACGCCGGCCTCCGACACGCTCCTGCGGCGTTCGCATTCGTACACCCGTTGCAGCAGGAACCAGGCGTACCGCATCGCTGCCCTCAGCATCACTGCCACCATCATCCTCATCCTCATCATCGTCATTCCAGTCAGCACCGTGTAACGTCCATACAGTCACATGACACGCCTGAGGCTACATTGAATGGTACAATACGTGTTTATTAGATAATATTATCAAGATTTTAATGAATGCATGAATTATTCATGAACCTAATTCGAGAAGCATGGCAGACTGTCCCAGTGTAAAACCTATGCAAAATAGACTGCATTTCCTGAAACCTTCAGTGGGCCTTTTTGGAGTTTCCCTACCTTTAGTTTTGTTTGAATTTAAGCAGGTTTTCAGTTAAACGCTTATTCTGCAGTTTATGGCTTGCGGACATTCCGGTATGCCCTCTTTGTTGACGAATATTGGGGAGTTCCCATTAGTCTAATGTAATTCTGCTGAAACCTGAGACGGCATCCACTTGCTCGCACAGCGGCACATGTTTTGCACACTCTTGCGCACCTCTGCTCTCTCTCCATTTAAATGCTTGGAAAATCCATTATTAGTTGCAAATTTACATGCAACTGCCCTTTAAATCTGCTAAATGTCCCCGTATTTGGAGGAAATGCTGACGTGTGATAGATATGAATCTCTTGTTTTCGTTTGATGCATATTCTTCATTACTGACCTGAATTTGTGGTGAACTCGATCACTACCAAAATAGTGCTACAAAACGTAATATCCTGCCTCACAAAAGCTTAAAAGAAAAGGAAAACAAGCCTCCAGAGATCCAGAATGGATGCATGATGATGGTGGATCAATACCGGCACACATTTTCAATTTGCTGAACAACAGCACTAAACTTTTAATGGGATGTGATGGGACTGAGTGAGTGAGGGAGGGGAGAGACCGAGAGGAAGGAGCGTTTGTCCTCTTTTATTGAGCCTGAAGCTTTCTGAGTCCTACTTCTGTCTGCTTCAGCTGATTAATGAGTGATTTGCTCAGGTAAAAGGGTTTCCAATTGGGATTTTTACATGCAGTTTGATCTCTGATCGCTATTGTAATTCATCTTGCGCTACACACTACAGAATGAATGATACCTCAATCAATTACTTTTCTAAATGATCAGATTTGCAATCACAGGCCAGTAAGCGATCACCTACAAAAACAAGCAAAGTGCTGACAGCCGCTCAGACCAACTTAGCAAATGCATAGTAAGCCTTGACAATGCTTTCAACAGCTGAATACTGTAATGTGATGACAATTGAATGAGATGTCCTATTTTAAGGAGGCTATGTGGGAAAAGTTTTGACTTTTGACATGATTTTGATTGATATTTTTGTGTTCCTCTTGTAGAAATAGCCTATGCATTTCTCCTCAGAATCATTCTTGTTTTTCATTCCATGATTGTATAAACACATGCATTTCTGGATTGGGATTTTTCCCTTTTCAGGACACCTCTGACTGTGAAAATGTACCTTTGTCTCTTCATAAAGCTGGTTTTGGTTATTCGATGGGATTGTGTCTTGTGTGTCATTTTTTCAGCCAGTTAAACAAGCAGGAAGTTGCATAGGAAGCAGGTGGATCATCATGACTGTGGTTGGAGTGAGAGGTTTTCTTTAATAATATGTGACCCTGCCTGTGAAAACCCAGCTAAAGTCATTTTTTGTGATTTACTGTTTTCTACATACAATCATCCTTCAGATGATGATGTAGAACATTCTGTGAAAATATAACCTTTATATCTTTAATATTGGCTGATAAGGCCATGTCAAAGATTGAAATCATAGTGAAATTAATGGTTGAAATCAAACTTTGATGCTTGTTATCTCATAATTAAATTTTGAGACTTTAGCCTGGATTTCACAGACAGGGTCACATATG